GAGATGATGCATTATAGATTTATATAAATTGTTTGGTACTCTTCTGTTATTGGGACCAGATATGTATACATATAAGTATGTATGCATGTATTTATGTATATATGTGATATTTTAATGCACAGAAGAACCTGGTACTTTAATTTTTGGCAGTCCACATGGCTGAGTGTAGATTCATACAGATAAAAAGTGGAATTGCTGCTAACAAAACTGAATTCGAAGAATCACCAATCTTTATTTTTACACACATCAAATCATTTCTTGGGCAGAAGAATTACTTTTCGATCATAATTGAATACAATAATTTTTATGTACACAGGTTTTAGAGTATATCATATCATCTTAGACAAGTAAGCATAACAGCAAAGGTTTTGCATGGCAGGAGAAGTTAAGAGAAAGAAGTGACGTAATTGCTTGCGAAGCAGCATTTATACTAGGTAGGTGCAGAGGTATAGCTAAGCTGCAATTGGTTAATTTTAGGTTTTATCTCCCTTTTCAAGCAGTGTTATGTAATTTGGAAAGATCTTGAATTTGGGAGAAAGAATAAACTTAGAGAGAGAACATCAGATTTAGAGTAGTCAATTTTAAGGTTGCCAATTATTTTTTAACACAGCCATCATATTTTGTTATATCTTACATATATGTGTGTGTATACACAAACATACATTCATATATATATGTATACATACACACATACATTTCTGGATCTGGTCCCAATAACAGAAAGGTACCAATTATTCATATATAAATATTCATACATTATTATATTATAAATACTCATATATGATAATGTTATGAATACTGGCATATTTCGTTTTCATTAAGAAAGATACTTCATTATTTTGTTCATAGCAATTGCCACGTAGGCCTGCTTTCGCTAATAAAAGTTTTTCTAATGTGTCATCACTAATATTAGATCTAAATTTCGTCCTCGTTTTCGCAACAACACTGAAAATCCTTTTACACTCTGCATTACTATGGGGAACTGCCAAGATGGCCAACATAATTCTATACAGTTCACTATATTTTAAAATTCAATCAGCAACTTTCAGTTTTCCAATTAAATGCCAATGGGTGCCAATCTTAGCTGATTTTATAACTTCATCCAAGTTTTCTAATTCTAAACTGCAAAATTGTGACTGCAATATATCAGTGGCAACATCAATATCATCATCTTTCATGACTAAATGAAGTAAAAACAGGAAATCTGTTCAAAAAGTACCTTATATCAGAAAAAGATGCATTTGCTAGAGCAGAAACACCAGCAACTTTAGCGTGCAAAATCACTTCATCGTTGACTGAAAATTTATGTAGCATGTAATCACATACTCGACAGAACTTCTAACATGAAGATAAAAACTTATTTTTGTCTTCTTCTGAAAGTTCTTCCACTACTTTTGTAGTTGCAGCTCCTATTACCAAATCTTCATCTTTCTTCCGATTTTCTATTTCACCATATATCACATCATATATAGAATTACAAGACAAAACACAGACTGGTTTTACAAACTTTGATAAAATGTCTCTAACGAGATCATAAATCACTGATTGCAAAACATGAATTAATGAAATTCTGCTTTGTAGAACTGTGTTAAGAACATCGAATGATCGCAAAATGAATTGTAAAGAAAAAAAGGAAAAAGCTTTGTTAAGGTCCGAAAAAAAAAAAAAAACATAAATATGCGTTCTTCACAACATAAACTTACAGTAATCGCAAAATGTTTTGTGTGTTGAGCAATTTTTTTATTTTGAGAGAAATATGTATCAGCTTTATGCTTATATTTTGCAGTATTATTTTCAGAACTGCCAGATGAATTGCTGAATGGTGCAGAAATTACTTTATTTTTCTCCAACCTATTTTTAACAATGGAAGTAGTAACTACATCTCCATTTACTTATAGGTATTTTATAACTTTCAATAGAGCCTTTTATCTTAACTCTCGAAGCATTTACTTCTTCTTTAAAAAATGCAAGAAGTGGGTTTCGTTGATCAAGGATTCTAGATAAGCATTTCTTTAAAGACAGCCAGCGTGTACATACATTTAAAAATAATTTCTCTTTTCAGTATTATGCAGCTGTTAAAACTGTTTTAATTTTTCCTTCCTTTCAGAACTCCTTTTAAGATAATAATAAATATCACATTTAATGGTAAAGAAGCTGCCCCTTTTCAAGCTGCTAAATTTAAGAGGTGACAAGTGCACCTCATAATCTGCAAATCTGAATTTTCCTTTCTTAACACCAGTCTTCCAGCTTACCATTACTGGTGCATTATTGGCACCAAGTGCTAAACAATTATCCAGAGGGACTGCATTTTCTTTTAAAGTTTTAATAATTAGCTGTGGTATATTAAAGCCTGTCGAATGTCTTTCTAAAGTAGGCACAGAAAGTAAACTGCACTCAATTTCTGAAGACTCTGGATTAAAAAAAAGAAACAAGTGGATACAGTTTTGAATAGGTATTATTGCTTCCATCCGTAGAGAGGCAGAACAGAGCTGTTTTAATGCAATCAATAACTGAAGATTTATTTTTCAAACCCATTTCTTTAACAATTGCACCTGTTTTGGTCCTTGCACTTGAATATTTCTTAGGGATTTCACAAACGGGAAACATTTTTCTAAATAAAGGTGCAGCATGATCCGATGCATTCAGTGGCAGGTTGTGCTACAGTAAAAAGGCAGAGAACAGACATTCTGCATTAATCACTTTTTGGTCCTTTGTTTCCGAAGAAAAATTTAATTTTTTTTTGTTTTTTTTCAAACAGTGTTTCAAAAATGTGTGTTTTTTTGTGTATGCACATGTTGTTTTTGAACATCCATTTTCCATTGCCACCAATGCGAATCGAAAAATCGCAATGGCAGACGGTACACATCGCAAATTTATTACATTTCCTTGAGGAAATAGTGGAAGGAAAGTCAAATGTGTATGATTTTTGAAACGTACACGAGTATTTCACCTTTCTCGCAGACATAACAAAAGATGATAATTTCTAAAACTAATTCCCGAAGGCACATGTACTCGCACAACTCAGGACAAGATGAACGAATTAACGAAAGAACATCCAAATAACAGCCTTGAGCTGGCTTTGTGCTCATTTGCTATATGCCAGATGACACGCAGTGGAGCTCGATGCCCATTGGAGAACTGGAGAACGATGTTTCTGGATACGTATGCTATCACTCACAAAGCAGAAATTCTCATCTGATTCGCGAGGTTTTGTTTTAGATATAATCTAGAGCAAATTCAATTGCTTTCAGACGTTCAAAATCACTTTTCTTTTCAAATAACGAAGTATTAAGCCAAGTTCCATAAAAATCATGAGAAATTTTAAGAATAAGAATAAGTCGGGAGAAATATACTGTAAATCGGGTTGGCAGGAGAGCGGTCAAAAAATCGGGAGTCTCCCGATTACAGCGGGAGAGTTGGCAACTCTGTTAAAGTAAGGAGGCCCATTTTGGTGTACACACTAATATGTGTCGTGCGAGTGGCAATGAGTACTTGCGTCGTGTCCCGGCATTCCTTGCAAACAAGTGTGCTCAGTTTCAGCTAGTTTTCAGTTTCAGTAGGTAACCTATATGGTCTGTTCTGGGTCTTTAAAATGTTAAAGATTATCGAGTTGCCTGCCCCGCTGTAGGTACAGGCAGTGATACATTTTTTGTCAGCAAGAAACCTGTCTACTACAGGCATTTACTGGCAGATTTGTGTCCATTCAGGTCAGCCATCTGTGATCACAGACGATATGGTGGCTTCAGTTGAAGCAAAAATTCTTGAAAACAGATACTTCATCATAAGCACCCTTTCAAACAAATTTCCTGAAGTGTCTAGTCTAGAACGTGACCTCTTGGTTATCAGAGCCGGCAGCAAGTTTCTATGAAGAGGGTATTCAAAATATAGTTCTAAGGTATGATAATTACAGTCAAAAGTCGTTAATCCAGACTCGTCGGGACTTCGGCGATTCCGGATTATCGATTTTTCCGGATTATAGATCATCAGTTTAAATCTCGTAAGATGGCATGCAGAAATTCTAAAATTAAAAATATGAAACCTTAATTTATGAAATAAAGAACAATTGTGATCTAAAGGGTATCAAAATTTACACACAAAAAAAGCTTAATATTTATTTGTTTACTTTATTACACATTTCTTTCAATGTAAGTTGTTTAAGTTGCTTCGTTTTATGTGATAATACTTTCTCTTTAATTCTATAAACAGACTTAATTTCTTGTTCACTTACAAAGTTCCACTGTTCAAGTCCCGTAATTGCTGTGCCAAGAATACCGACTAACTTGTCAATCAAAATTTTTTCGTTTTCACTAACCTCTCTGTCACTTTCTTCATTCTTTATCCATTTTTTGCAGCAATTCTACTTTTTGGGTTGATGGACATCGAAACATACTTTCGTTTTGTAGATCCTTTGGGAGCTCCAGCATCGGAAATTCTATTTGACATAATCGAAAGTTCAAGTTTACTTTTATAAAATTGCTCTTACAGTCTGCAAAAAATAATAAGCTGAATCCAATTCGAAGATTAAGGAACAACGCAATCATCAACATCAACTGAAATAGATAATTAGATAATTTTAGCTTATACCATCCGTTATACATTAAACGCGCACGCAAAAACGTATTCTGCGCTTGCGCACATGCAAATGCACAGACGTAAAGGTCTTACGTGCACGCGTAAACGCCTATGCGCATGTGTCAACGCTGCGCATGCGCAGAAAGTTTTTAGCTTTGAGGTCCAGATTATAGATCATTCCGGATTATGGGTGCCGAATTAACGACTTTTGACTGTATTTAAACAAATTTGGCAACTATATTAAAAAATAGAGAAATGTACGTAGAATCTGAAAATAAATTTGGTTTTTGAAAATTTTGTTTTTTTTGGTTTTTATTTTCAAACAACCCTTACTTAAAAAATGCCCCTCGTATATACACAATGTGATAATTTTGTACAGGTGAGAATTATATATATATGGAAAAAATAATAAGTCTTTTATGACTTACCTTACAAAAAGAGAGTAAAATGAATATAGCACCAGAGAAAATGCACAAAAATAATCTAATTTCTATCAAAGAACAAGCATAATATTGAATTAAAATCATGAAGACATATTTATTTAATATAACAAAACATATTTGAAATTTAGACAAAGAATGAAGATAGAATCAGAAAAGACTTCAATACTTTAAAAAATGACTGTTTTCACTGTACAGGTTATAATACTTTAATATACATATATAATAAAGCACAGCTACTAAAAATATTAGAAAAAAAGGAAATGTAATTAACATATTAATTGTATAATGGAACCTTTAAATAAAAAGTATATTAAAGTATGGTAATAACGAAATATGTGTATGGAATAATGAAAAGTATGTAATCAAGTTTTAGAATATTGAAAACAGATGAACAGCTGAATTTTGAAAACATATATATGCATTATCTCATGCTCTGATATTCTCAATGTTTTAATGCTTCGTGTACCCAAAATATATATGAAACCGATATATTTTGGCACTATCGCATTATCAGCCCAACTATCCTTCAAAGTAGCTAGTTATTGGCGATTAAATTTTCGCCAACTAACGCATGAAAAACAATAGCTATTTTTAAAAATTTGGCTTTCAATGAAAATTAAATCAAACAGCAATGAATTAATGAAATTACAAATGCACAAAAAATATAATGAAAGAGTAAAGATTGCAAAAAGCAAAAATGCATGATGAAATACTCAAAATTTCACAAATGAAAGCAAATTAACCTTATTAAAAATGCAACAAACACCCACTTAACTTGTATATATGTACAATCTATTTTCTTAATCTCCAGTCCATGTACATGATGATTTAATTAAATGTGGGAAAAAATAAATCAGACAACTGTAGAATTACTGCCATTGCAAAGCAAACTGGCACCGCTTTCCACGTACATATCAAGCTGATTTAAAAAAATAAAATAAAATCAATAAATAATAAAAAAAGAAAAAGAAAATCTGGAAGGCTTCAGATTTTAAATTACGTCCAAAGAGGCTTTCCCCCCCCCCTATGTTTTGTGTGTTACCTTTATTCATTAAATATCATGTTCTTCGCACTTAAACCATAAAATTCAGCTGAAGAGCAATATCGCAAAATAATTTTAAACTGAGTATATCTTTAGAATTTCTGATACATACTTTGAAATCCTTGAGTTCGTTAATCAAAAATTCATTTTAGTTTTACAAAATATGAAATTGATAATAAAACAAATTCCAAATTTGGACTTCCAGATGCCCATATTCACAGTAAGATTACATCATTTAAAACTAGATGGCTATAGGTACTGTTGTTTCATCACAATGCGAGAAATATACATACATTTATGCAGATTCTTCATTATTTAATTTCTTCAAATATAATACAAGGCGATAATATTTGATGGCAACAGTGTGAAAAGTGAAATGGAAGTTCAGAGTGATTCAACACAAAATCGCAAAACAAAAACATTCGTCCCTCAGAGACAAAGCCCCTTTGGACTAAAAATGGAGAATTGCATTATTCAGAGAAAACTATTATCACCATCACCTGAGAACAATTCATCAAATACTTCTGAGCTGCAAAATTTCTATAACAATCTAATACTGGAAATAAATAAACACTAACCAAATGCTTCATTTTATTACTTTTAACAAAAATAATGAAAGGCAATCCAGATAATATTTACATTTTAACAGCCAGTGGATACATTTTCTTGAAATGAATTCCCCAAGATAACTTGGATTATATATAAGATACAACTTCATGTGATATGCATTTCTATATTCTACTACTACTATGTAAAACACATTTTTGAAAGAAAAAAAACGCTACACTTTTTTTTCGTTAGCAGGCAAATTCCACTGTTGCATTACAATCCCTTACAAGAAAACACACGGACACTAATCATAATCAGAAACTACAAATACAAACTTTAAATTCTAAAATAACATGTATTTAACCTATCGTATGAGCGGCACCTGGGAGTTTGATGCACCCACACAACGTGCTTTGTATTGGCACTATGGTGTTTTGGAACTTGATCAATTCATTTATGATGTGCGGTAAGATATTATCCGAATAACTTTCATGGAACAGGTTAAGCTTGTGTTCTTAGCCAAATCTTAGTTAGTCTCAGCATAGCACTCACTAAAAAAAAAAAAAAAAAAAAAAAAATAGCTTTAAGCTTTAGAAAAATCAAAGCTAAAGCTATATTAGATCTTCATCAATATAGCCAAAATTTTCTCCACAGGTTCACTAAGTGAAAAAGTCCTCGAGTGCAAAGGAATAAGAGGTTGCTAGATAAAATATATTTTCGTAAAATTCTAGGTTGCATACTTTGGC